CAGTGAACAAGACAAAAGTAGGCCAAATAGAAAAAGGACATTCAGCATGTTTAGCATGCGTGAAAATCCCCGGAAGCAAAAGCTCTTAAATAATTACATTTCTCACTTGACGTTTCATGCTAAATCATCCATGGCCAATGCTATGATTGAAAATACGTGTACTACGTACACATGGGCACCGGTACCCTTGTAAAAAACTACATGTAGTGGAGTGGAGTGCTGTGGCCTCGTGGTTAAGGCATTGGATTCGTGGTCTGCAGGTAAAGCTGCAGGTTGTGGGTTCGAGTCCAGCCTGGGGTCATGATGGTGCATGTGCCCTTGGGCAAGGCACTTTGTCACTCATTGCTTCTCTCCATCTAGGAGTAAATGGGTATCTGTGAGGGCAGAGATGGTTACTGTGGTTGAATTAGCTTCCTTGCGCCTAACAGGCTGCATCAGGCTCTCCAGGGAGCTGGGATGGTATTTGGAATGTTTCATTGGCCCAATGATCAGGGGTAATAATAAAGCGCTTTGATCTTAGTTAAAAGCGCTATACAAGACCTGTTATTTTCATTATTATTATTGTTATTGTGTATCGGTATGCATACATACAATGTTTCATGTCATACAAAAAACTTATGTTTGTACATGTTTGTTTGGGCTGTGCCTCAAACAAAACGTAGTTTAATGACTTGATGATGTGACTTGGAATCACAAAAGAACAACCTTTTTTTCTTTCTTTTTTTCTGATGACTGCAGACATGACGACTGATACTGTATCTTGGAAATGACTTATTGAACATCTATGTACAGAATAGAGACTCATATAGGCATTCACTGACTCATGTGCAGCATGACAAGAAACCCAATACAATTGAGAGAGAGAACAAAAACAAAACAAAATTAAATAAAATTGTTTACATTCTCAAAGGTAGAGTATGCTGCTGGCCTGTGTTCTATATCGGAACATTTTCCTCCTCTCTCATCAGTCTCTAGTCTTCCAAGACGTTCTTAATGTTAGCAATAGACCCTGACTGTGAACTAGACCCTCTAAGAACACTTTGCACCAAGAACGGCCTCTCTCCCTCCTTTTCAAAGACAGAATTGTTTCTGATTTATAAAAAAAAAAAAATTCGTTAAATTTTAAATCTAGGATGGATACAAAAAGACACCACCCCTCAATAAAGTTGTGAAGATATACCGAGGCGGGTACAGTCGACTCTCGAACACTGTTACACAGTTGACATACGAACATCAAATTCTGGTTAAACTGAATATACATGTATAAAGCCTTGGTCCCAACTGTGCATTTATGTGCACAACGATATGGAGACTGTCCCTCCTCTAGTCTTAATACAAAATTATAACAAACATTTTGGCAAGGTCCCGATAAGTTTGTATCATAACGAGACTCAACTGCACCGTACATGCACCGGTACCTGTACATTTTCAAAGCATGAATAGCAAGTCAGAACCCACTGCACATTGACTTGGTAGATTTATCATTGAAGTGGCGATGTTTAAAGATCATAATGATGCATGGCTCCGTGAAAAGATCAGTTCAGACATTAAATGATAAAATGCTGGCTGGAAGTTATCCTGTACATCAGCTGGATAGAGGAGGGAGCACTTCATAAAAACGACAACGGACCAAGTGCATTATCAATCTCAGAAGCGGATGATAAATCTTTCCTTGCAAAAATATACGTAAACAGCCACACATGCAGTGGGCTGAATTTTATTATCTTGTTCTATTATCTTGTCCAGCCTCTCCCCCCCCCCCGAAAAGATTGTACTTTTGACTATGATTGTTAGTTGTACATGTAGGAAGTAATGTCCTTTTGGGGTACATGTACATGACTTGTATACCGGTAGGTGATCTTTCCCTATAGAAGCCTTTTGCACAGGCTAGTCACAAACAGTCGGATCATATTTCAAGCAAGATCTACACATGTACGGTGACTGGTGACTAGTCAAATTCAGTCAAAAGACAAAAACAGGCAAGTGGTAGGCACAGCTGGCTTAATCAATCACCTAAAGTCAACGCATAGCTGTATCAGGTTACATAAACAGTCACAGCCAGTCAGATTTATGTAGGCTGGGAGCTCTTAACTGTTGAAAACAGTCATTCGATTGTTTTTGACTGAAAGGACAACTTGGCACAGAATGTATGTTTGCACGTAGGAGGGTTAAAGTGACTTACTTGTACCCAGTATGATACACTGTTAAAGGTGTACATGTACCGGTACATCGGAAACGGGTACCCGAGTACCGCTGATGTCAGGAACCGGTTTCAGATTATGGGATCAGCACCCGATTTCACGAAGCGCTGCGACGCGTCGCAACTCAAGTTACGACGTGTAACACGTCGCGACGCGTCGTATCATCCATTTCACGAAAGTTGCGATGTGTTGAACGCGTTGTAAGTTCCTTAAAAATGGCTTAAAATAGAACGCAAGTTACGACGTGTCTAGTGGTCATCGCAAAATACGAAGAGTCCCTTTCTAAGCCAGTTTAATGCCATAAACATGACAAAAACGAGATTATAATACCGAGGCAATATGTTTAAAGTTGTAAATAGAAAATTCATTGAATAATTATGAATTAGACTGGAATATTGCAGTTGAAATTTCAAAGTAGCTATACAGTCCACTGAGAGCTTGTTTTCCTTCAAAATTGCATCGCACGGCCACCATTTTGTTTTACGTTTTAACAAATTTCGAGCTGAGATCCGACGACTCTTTGTTGAATATCAGACGACTATTTACTGTATGCTGACTATATACATACACCTACGACGCGTCGCACTTACGACCTGTTTCATGAAATGGATCGCAGGACGCGTCGCAGCTGCAATGCATCGCAGAGATACGACGCATCGCATCACTGCGATGCATCGTAAGTTACGAAGAATTTGATGAAATCGGGTGCACTGGTACCCATAACCAACTTTACAAAATTACTGAGTAACTTCTCAGACAATGGAAAAGAAAGTTTTGAAAGACCATTTGTGAGGAAATGCAGGCCCTATGTGTCTACATGGGAAAAACCAACATAGATTTCATGTTTATGGCGCGACAGATCACAGACACTCATGAAATTTGCAGTTTTTACGGTAAAGCTATAAAGCCCTATAAAGCCCAGGATTTATATTTTATGATTGAGTTTCTTGTGAAATTCCACAAATATTTCCATACTGACTTCAGAATCCATGATATTTGAAATCTGTTTTTTTCTCTCTCTTTTTATGAGGATGTCATGCTTTCAAAATAATGTGTCTAATTATTGGCAAACATTTAGAAGAATCATTGGGATACTGATAATCAGCTTTGATTCAAGTTTAACATGCACCTGTAATTGACAGAAATATTTCGCACAACCAAAACATTTGGTGGAAAATCCAAAATTCTGCATCGTGACTTCAGCATGAGGAACTGTTGATAACTACCAGAGCTTTTTATAGGAGAGAATCCAATCCAATAATCCAAGCGACCTTGAATCATCATCGGCACGATCCATCTCCTGAGGTACAATACAAGTGGATCTTTAGGACAAGCGAGGGCGCTACTCAACTTAATGGGCAGCTGATATGACTTGGGCATTCCTGATTACTGTGGCAATGTGCTCATACAAGTATCCACACCCAAAATGTATACATATTTGTAATTCATGTAAAAACAGTCTGCTTTCTGTTAATCACGTAAGAAAGTATAGATTGATCAAAAATCACTGATAATGAGATCTTTTTTTACTTTGATTGGTGATAAACAAACTTGGTCTTATAGTGTAATAATCCCCCCCCTCCCCCTCCGTGTGTGTGTGTTTACATTTGCGGATTACTTTAGTAGCTCTAAAAGGACATCATCAATAATTTATGTTATGAAACCAATCTGCAAAATGGCAAATTGCATTAATGGCATCATTTGACAACAGAAACACTTCATAACTCATCAGCACAAAATTGCAATATTATCAGAGAAACCTGCAATGTCAGGAAAAAAATCCATATGACTGTGATCTTACACTAGGCCACCAAAAAACTTAAAGAACAGGTGCATGTACACGTTGAATTTGTAAGCATGTGAAACAGTTGGTGCATATGTACATGTTACTCTGTTAACTGACTCAATTACATGTACCATCATTTTCCTCAAATGCACTCATCAAACATGTCTGATCTTGCGTAGGGAGAAGGAATTGATGGAATATGCCCTGCTTAGGGACAGTTTCCAAATTGTAAGACCATATTGTCTCCAACCATGAACATTTAACAATAACAAGTGGCTAGCAGTGAAGAATCCAAACAACTGCAGTCAAAAAAACCTGAATATGACACACTAAGCTGACCAAGCAAATATATTGCCCTTTTGCGATCACCAAAGCTCATCTTCGATGTTGTTGACACAGGCAACAATCTTGGGATTAAAAGTAGACCCTGATCCTCTCAATAAGCAGATGGCGTAATGGTCAAGGACAAGACTTAATGAACCCTAACATTCTCAGACAAATTTGCAACTTGAACGAAAACAGGTCAGGCATGTCGCGAATCAAATGTGATTACGTCCTTTTATACATGTATATCACTGGTCGACCAGATAGAGAACAACCTCTCTCTCTCTCTCTCTGAAGGCTGTTACGAGGATGGCCACAAATGCATGAATTGGTGCTTGGCTCAATTCACAAGGAGCTAAGGAGTGTCTTGCATTACAGAGCACCGACAAGAGGTCAGAGGATACCATTCCCACTGATGATGAGAGACCATTTTAGTAGTGCATGCAAGATTTTCCAACATGTTCCAATGGGTGGCTGGGGTGCTGACGTCCAACACTTTTCAGGGTAGGGAGAGGGTAAGGGTGACTGAGGCAGTTCAGTCAATGCAGAAATAGACAAAAGACCGGAGGCAATCACACATGATCAAGTCGCAAGTCACGCAGCAAGTCTGTGGCAAAGGCATGCCCCTGCTGTGACAATATACGATTACAAACGTGCAACTGTAATTGGCACAACATTTTCAAACTCACCTGTTTTAATGTACCTGGAAGGTCGTTCACCCAATGTAGGCTGTAATAAGAAAAGAGACAAAAATATCAACATGTAGAGTATAAAAGGTAAACAAGTAAAGGGGACGAACCTGTGTGAACTCACAGGAACGCAGTGCCCATCTCTCTTTCGAAGCCAGGCCAGACTCCTCCATGTAATGCTGCTGTGGGGGGATCGCTACACCTCCTCCACAGCGAGTCTGTTACCCTCCCAGCATTAATGCCAGTAACCATTTAACACCTGGGTCGAGAGGAATAATTGAGGTTAAGCGCCTTACTCAAGGGCACAACACGCATGGCCACGGCGGGGCTCGAACCCACAATCCCACGATCATGAGGCCCGTGCTCTACCGCTAGAACACACACGGTACATGCAAAATATGTACTTACATGCATACATTGTTTATGTCCCAACAAATAAACAATATAGTTAGCAGAAGGCTTGGCATGACAGTTGTCACACATCTCTTTGGAATTCTTCTGATGAAAAGTTTTCTGAAGTAATCTTTTTGAATTTAAACACAGCATCCATTCTTTGAACTTCATTCTTTCAAGCATAAAAGAAATTTAACAATGTCTGTGTGCTTTCAAGAGTATACATTGTACATGTACTCCCATGACATTTAGCAACTGAAAAAGACAACAAAGGGAACTAAAAGTGAAGCAGAAATTCACGGCTCGGTCTTTTTTGTTGTTGTAAATTTCTGTGCCATTACTGAGAACTCAAACCTCTTGTGAATTCTGTGTGTAGCATAATATGCGTCATTTCCCTGTTCAGTTTGGCAAAACAGCCACAAGGGAATATGCACTACATTGTCCAGGGTTAAAAATGAGTGGGCACTTAAGTGTATGTCACATTATCTTCCCCCGAGATTATGAAGCAAAAAGGACATTACTTTTACACACTGTGTACAATATTTATCACAAAACCATGCAGCTGATACTATCAGCAAATGCATGCACTGAATTGAAATGATGCACTGAATTGAAATGGAACACTTCAATTCAGTGCATGTCCCTCAGGAATATCAGCAGCTCCAAAACTCATTTTAGAAAGCCTACATGTATTTGACAAAAATGCACGCTGAAAACCTTTCTAGGATTCAATGGTACCGGTACCCGGTACATGAATTTCTGAAATACCATAAGTTCCTGCGCTCACAAAACTTGTAAAACAAGCACACACAAACTAGAGAATAATTTTTTTTTCCAGATTTGGTGGAACCTATTTTATTTATATTATGGTTGAAAGTACTTTTCTACAAATGTTTGTCCGTGCACATGTACAGACATGAAAGAGGTATGCAGGTGTGTGCTATCAAGATAAAATCAAAAAAGCATGTAAAACAATTCCAACCTAATTTCCTCATTGTAGACAGGGACCACCCGGTATATTAACCACTCATAAACTGTACATTAGGGACTTCATTCCCAATCAAAATAAGCACGATTCTTAATTGACTTAACTGATATCACTAGCCGATTATTGCAATTAAGTTTGGTGGGCATGGTGGGAGCAAAATCATCCCCCAGACTCTTACGTGTATGTGTTTTACCAGCTGTATGGCCCAAGTCCACAGTGTATACAAATTTAATACCCGTTTTAATTGCGTGACCAATGACGTGTGCACTTCAACAAGACTGCGCAAGCATGCCTTGCACGCCACGTACTGACAAAACACACGGGGACTTGTCAAATCGTTGCGTCTCTACACACGCAATCTTTGACCTACTTGCCGTGAATTGATCTGCGCAGTCTGAAATTACACACGTTCCAAAGACACCTAATTCACATTGATTCTGCGAGCCCCCACTACAGAGAGCCAGATATTTGCTCAGCCGATATTACACTGCACATTAGGCCATTAGCAAAACCAGTGCGTGTAAAGTCAGCTTTGCTGATAATTAGACTCCAAAACACACACTGCCCTCATATTAGATGCATTTTTTCCCCTGTCTATATACATGTAGGCCTACCATGCATACTCTATACCTCCACCCATTTGTACTTTCTTTTCATACAGCTACATACTGTTAATTCCTGCTTAAAGAGGTTGTGGAATGCTCGAAGACATTTCCGTCATTTTTTGGGTATATGTAGCCTAAGGTGTGATGAAATAAAAACAACTATTGTTTCTGTCATGAAATGAGCACAAAGGGTACTTTTGAGAGCTATTTTTCAGGTCCTGTTTCGACCCGAACGTGCAATTTGTGTAAAAGTCGTCGTTGCGGGCAGCAAACAAAACACAGTAAATCGTGACGTAATAAACAGGACTCGTTTATGCTACTCTGCATTGGGAGTCCTGTTTATTACGTCAAGATTTACTGTGTTTTGTTTGCTGCCCGCAACGACGACTTTTACACAAATTGCACGTTCGGGTCGAAGCAGGCATGACAGGACTTGAAAAACAGCTCTCAAAAGTACCTTTTGTACTCATTTTATGCCAGAAACAATAGTCGTTTTTATTTCATCACACCTTAGGCTACATATACCCGAAAAATGACGGAAATGTCTTCGAGCATTCCATAACCTCTTTAACACTGTTTGTCACTGTTTGAATTCTACATGTATCTACATGTACACGTATGTTGCCTTATAGGAAGATTCTGCTAGGTTCGCAATCTACATTTTTATAACATTTTGAAAATTAGTACAGCTCAGATCAGATAGTACGGTATTTAAAAAAAAACCAATTTACAAAAAAAGTTTTGTCATGTCATATCATAAGGTCTTTCCACAGTACTTAATACAGTACATGTAGGGCACTGCAAGAAAAAAATTATCAAATTCCAAATTTGGCCTTTCATATCCCAAAGACTAAGAAGTTCTTGAAGAGATAGCAACGACCAAAAGATCAAAGCAAAGAGTGAAAGAAGTCTGTTGCAGATCTTCCTGTACAAATCTCCCACTGTGAAAAGTAACAAGGACGGACACAAGTGTGACAAACGTGTCCGTTCCTATTACAATTTGTAAAGGCTAATGTGTTACCTTAGCATCTAACATTCATGTATATACATGTACATGTACGCTCGAAGTAGTGCTAGGGAAAATTTGTTCGTTCAATTGAACATAACGTCAATGTCAAAAAATAGTCATCGAGGCACCTTGTAAGTACTGGAATAGTTTAGATGATTCTGTTATATCATTACCCACACTATCTGTCTTTGTCAAAAATTTAAAAACTCATTTTCTTGAATCATATTCATATGCACGTAAATTGAAATGTTATTATTTTGTGCATTAATATTTAGGCCTTGTCTCACACTTGTCCTGTCTGTCTCATGTAGTGTTTTGTTTGTCCCTTAATATTTAACAGTACTTTGGTTGTATGTTTGTCCATAGTTAACTTAAAATACATTTTTCTCCTACATGTACATGTATGTCACCCCTATGTACATGTACCTCATTACCGTAGAAATGCCCATTGTGTGCGACACAACATTCATGGCATGAATGTAACTTACTGGTAACTTGACAGAAATGAATGCATAGGTGAGTCCAGTGAGATGATTTCTCTAGATGCCATATCATACACTGGTACCGTATGTAATTGTACCTACCGGTACCAATCCTTAGTGCTTTAACACAACCATCATCAACTACGGTGGAACACATTTTGAAAACTGCTACACGTACAGGTACATGTAGATGAGGGTACCGGTATCTTTACTCAAAGGGTTTTTGATGAGGAAGATGTCATTTTTCAAATCTGTCATCAAATCCAGTTCATAGAAATAAAAATTAAAGAGTAAGTTCCTACGTGAAGAGCTACTTTCAATACTTGCTACTTGTTTAAATCCATATTGTTCAAATCCTTTAGCACCTTTTCATTTTGTACAGAAAATGGCAATTCAACAATGGGCTGCCATAACTGAGACCTTGCCCACCCCTCTTCCAATCAAAACTTTAATGCTTAAACTTTTCCTGCCCAATTAAATCCTCAAAGTCATAATTTTTGTGGTTTGCTACACGTACACTATGTACTTCTACCCTACTGTACGAGTTGAAATTGCCTTGGTACCGGAACGTGTAAAGGAACATGCACTACCCTTTTTTTTGGAATTTACATCTTCATATAATCCTGATGTTTCTTGATTAAAGCATGATTGGGCTACACTGTAGAGCTCTCTTGTAAGCAGAGAGTGATTATACCGGGCGATATAGGAGTTTGTTTGGAGTGATGGAGCATCCCTTTCAGCCATGCACAGACTGATGACAAGCCCGTCTCACCAGGCCACGAGAGCAATCAAAACAATTCCCTACTTCATAACTGTCTTAAGCCCGAGCACCGAGATTGCAGAGATAGGATAATACCCTCCAAACCCAAACCGCAGCGACTTCAGAGCTTAATCCTGCAGGGCAAGCCAGAGAAAAGCGAATAAACCGGCTAGCCTTCTATTAAAGACTCTGATAATATCTGGATGAGATAAGGAGGACTTGAGAGGCAGAGACGGTGAGAAAGTAAGTGGGGAGAACTGGCCACAGGAAACAAAGTTAATTGGGAGAGGATGGGGTATGGTTCAAAGGATGCGGACAGACATGTGGGGAGTGTTTTGTGAGGCGTACGTCGAAGCAAAGAGGATCGTGACCACAAAAAAAAAAAACAGGTGAAAGTTTCAGGATGATAATCCTCGATAGCGTAATGGCCACACGTACAGTTTCAACAACAAGCGCCTGAGAAAACTTGTTATCGTATCAGAAAATTTACAGCTTTACAACCCCGTCAGCATCTCAAGTCTGATAGTTGTCACTTTTGAAATGTTAAACCTTTCAAAACATCAGCAACAAAGTCGGGGGTAATGTAAACCAAGAGAGTACATGTGTACAGTATTTCATGTGGTTTGTGTACAACCATGTAATGTACTTTATGTGTATCTTAAATTCTAAAAAGCACTTTACAAAACAAAGAGCATGTATGATACATGAAATACTATACCTCCTTTTACATGAGCCAAATAGCTCACATAATGATAGCAATTATACATTATGTAGGAAGGAATACCTCCTTCATGTACACGTAT